TAGAAGAGAAAATAGGGAAAATATCATGGTTTCATAGAACAAATTTTTTATAATACTGTGTTCATCTCTAGATACAGAAGCTATTAATAGAGCAGCAGACATGTGTAATCAGCTCTGGTCTTTGTTTTAAATTTTCCCCTGAGGATGTAAAAATGAGTGGAGCGGAAACAAGGATACATGGAATCCAATAACTAGCTCTAAATCTGTCAGTAAAGCTATGATGTCCCATCACACACCCTAGATCTGTGCTTAAGGCTGCTAAGCTCCCATGACCCTCTGGACTGCTTCTAAAGTCATTAACTTCCTTTTCAATCTTATGATTTCAGCTTAGGCTTCATCTGATATTATATCATAAGAAGCGCTGACCACTAACCAAGAACATTCGTGAAGGGTACTGCGGTGCCAGAAAGAGGTATGCCTCTATTTTCTAAATAAATCTTGATTTTCAACTCACTAGTTATCTTAACAAAGTAACTTCCTTCATCATCTGCACTAAATATTAATTTCATTTATGTTTATTGCCTGTATATGTTTGCATACGTGCTCAGTCATGTCTGACTCTTTGCAACCCCATGAACTGTAACCTACCAGGCTCCTCTGTCCATGGATTTTCCAGGCAAGAATACTGGAGTGGGTTACCATTTCCTCCTCCAGGAGATCATCCCAACCCAGGGATCAAACCTGCATCTCTGGTATTGGCAGGCAGATTCTTTACCACTGAGCCACTTGGGAAGTCCCTATTGTTTGTATATATGAATCAACTAATGGCCCATTCGTTTTGTGCTAAGATAGTTCTTGCCATACTTCTTCATGCTTCTGAGCTATCACTCCTCTCCCCCACCATTCTATGAGCTGCTCAAAGGCAGAGATGTATCCTTAAGCATCTCTGTTTCCATATAGTGTGGATATCATTAAGAAATCACAATAAATTCTATAAAAATGAATCAAATGCTGTTTAAGATAAGTAAAACCATCATCTGCAAAATGAGTAGCTTGAACTAAATGATCTCTAACCCTCTAGGATTTATTACTTGTTTGAAAGTTTTAAAATTTTCTTTTTTTGACCTAATATAGGTCAATGGCTTGATTTAGTTATAAATAAGCAATCAAATCTAAATATCAAATGTACCAGGAAAGTTTTTTTTAGTAACGACCAATAAGTTGATTAATGATACTAGAGGTACCTATTTCTTTTTTTAATTAGTTTATCCATTTTACTTGACATCTTTCATTCTAACACCTGAGAATTTCAAAATTATTTATAATATTTAACAGACAAGTAAAACAAACAAATGATTTATCTCTGTCATGATATAAGTGTGTTTTAATATTATAGTTAACCTTATGATTTAGTGCCTTTCTTAATACTTTAGGAAGCAACTTAACAGATTCACTTTAGGTTCTGAGGTTGGGAAATTTTTAAATAATATTGGAGTGAAAAGACAACTTTCAGTGGTTTAGAATGATAAACAATACTTTCAAAAGATAAACTTGCTCTGTCATTCATTTACTCATTCATTCTATTAATATTTATGATCATTTATGAGCAAAGTACATATGTACTGGCCCTGTATGAGCCTTTTATATATCAATCAGAAAGTCTATGAGGAAAGATAACAAACACATACACATCACTGATCTGAAAGACATATTTAAAATTCCCTAGAAGGGGAAAGATAGAAATTACCTTGGAAGGAGGCTAAGGGAAGGCTTTGTCAAGAAGGTGTCAAGAAGAGCTGAAAGATGGGTAGCTTTTGCACACACATAGATGGAGAAAAGGTCATTTCAGGAAGAAGAAATACCACGAAAAAAGACAGACAGGTGGGAAAACATATAGCTTATGACCCTGATATAGTAAAGTAGTTGTTTATTGAAATATAGGATATACAAAAAGGGAGAAGTGAGAGAGAAGCTAGGAAAATTCAGTTGCAACCAGACTCTGTGTGTGTGTGTGTGTGTGTGTGTGTGCGCGCGCATGCGCGCGCACTAAGTCACTTCAGTCGTAGTTGACTCTGCGACCCTATGGACTGTAGCCCGCCAGGCTCCTCTGTCTATCAGATTCTACAGGCAAGAATACTGGAGTGGGTTGCTGTGCCCTCCTCCAGGGGCTCTTCCAAGAGCCTTAAATATCAGGCCAAGAAGTCTAGATTTTATTTTGAAGACACTGAAGGACCATTGAAAATTTTTAGAGAATATGAGATAATTGGAAGCTATAATGTATAGAGAATTATTTTGGAAAGAGTTTGTAACAGGATATAGTGAGTGTTGTTGGTGGTAGAAAGGACAGATGGTAATTATTTGATACCTTTCAAATGTGATTATTTTTTTAAAAAGCTATATCAAAAATCTCAACAGCACCATCTAGTGCCTCACAGGCTAACACTGTCTGATTTGGAGAAAACCCAATACAGGGCTAGCTAGAATAAGTTTACAGAGATTCTCTTTCTTCCACAATTGCACCTGAATTCAGGAAAGCGATGGTGAAAGAGGCAGGTTAAGTGGAAAGCAAACTGAGAAATAATGCATAGGTTGACAATAATGAACTAATTTTTCTCTGTGATCTTAGTTATATACCCTCAGAATGATTCACCTTCAAATTTTTTACTGTGTATCAACAGTTCTTGGTGGAAAATAATGACTTTTTTTGGCCACACTGCAAAGCTTGTGGGATCTCAGTTCTCCAACCAGGGATTGAACCCAGGCCACCATAGTGAAAGCCTGGAATACTAACCACTAGGCCACCAGGGAACTCCCAACAATGACATTTTTAATGAAAGGAAAAAAAATAGATGGGCAAATGAATAAATGACATACCCTCACAGAAAATATAATTGTTAGCAGTAGTAAACCTGGAAAGTTATATCCCACCTACAACCACAACCATAGCTTCCTGTATCTGTATCCTTGACACAGATACTAATTCAGTCTCTTCCACTACCAGCAGTTCTTGCATGCTGAAGCAATCTTCCCACCTTACAAATCCTAACCTCTCTCTTACCAGGGAGAAAGAGCTGTGTAACAGGCCAACAAATCATATTTCAACCAAAGATTATCTACCATATTATAAATCGATGAGTTGTTCCCATCTCCTTAAAGAATAAAAGAGAAGAATATGGAGGAACATAGGAAATCACTACTTCTGCACTATCTCATCCCTATATCTTTCTGATCAGAGCTTATTTATTGCCGTGATAAAGCTGAACTAGGCCAGACCAAGCAACACTCTCTCGCTATAATAGAAATGACCATGTGCTGTTGAACAGTAAGACTTTGAATGTGAGTCTGGGAAGAGAATAAGGATGAACATGTACAATTTCCTCACCCAGAAAGTATATTCCAATTAGTTATGCTGCAGTTCTCCTCAGAACCTTAACTTAGGTGTGGATTTTAGAAATGTATTTCACCTTATTTCCTCATTAAAAAAACTAAATAGCTTCTAAAGTTTCCCCAGCCTTGGTGTTCTGTTGTTCTAAATAGAGTCTACCATGTTCTAGATTAAGATTCTCCACCATGGAGTGAGTTCCACTGATAACAAATTTAATTATTTTCCTTAGGTACAAGTATCACCCAGCAGCTGTTACTTAGGAAGACTTCTTTGTGGGGGAACTAAGCATTTTCATCCAGATTTTATCCTCAGAAAGAATCTAGATCTCTTCCAATAGAGAAAGAGATGATAGATAGATAGATAGATAGATAGATAGAAGATAGATGGATACTCATACTTATGAAACTACTATCTTTAAAACTTTTCTCTAAAAAACAAACCCATTTAAAAGGAAGATTTAAGAGAAATGCAAATCAAAACCACAATGAGGTACCATTACACACCAGTCAGAATGGCTGTTATCCAAAAGTCTACAAGCAATAAATGCTGGAGAGGGTGTGGAGGAAAGGGAACCCTCTTACACTGTTGGTGGGAATGCAAACTAGTACAGCCACTATGGAGAACAGCGTGGAGATTCCTTAAAAAACTGGAAATAGAACTGCCATATGACCCAACAATCCCACTTCTGGGCATACACACTGAGGAAACCAGATCTGAAAGAGACACGTGTACCCCAATGTTCATCACAGCACTGTTTATAATAGCCAGGACATGGAAGCAACCTAGATGCCCATCAGCAGACAAATGGATAAGAAAGCTGTGGTACATATACACCATGGAATATTACTCAGCCATTAAAAAGAATTCATTTGAATCAGTTCTAATGAGATGGATGAAACTGGAGCCTATTATACAGAGTGAAGTAAGCCAGAAAGATAAAGACAATACAATAACGCATATATATGGAATTTAGAAAGATGGTAACGATAACACTATATGCAAAACAGAAAAAGAGACTCAGATGTATAGAACAGACTTGTGGACTCTGGGAGAAGGTGAGGGTGGGATGTTTCAAGAGAACAGCATCGAAACATGTATATTATCTAGGGTGAAACAGATCACCAGCCCAGGTTTGATGCATGAGACAAGTGCTCGGGCCTGGTGCACTGGGAAGACCCAGAGGGATCAGGTGGAGAGGGAGGTGGGAGGGGGGACCGGGATGGGGAATACATGTAAATCCATGGCTAATTCATTTCAATGTATGACAAAAACCACTGCAATGTTGTAAAGTAATTAGCCTCCAACTAATAAAAATAAATGAAAATAAAATAAAATAAAAGCAAGATTTATAGGATAGTGCTGGAGTAATATGGCTTAAAATAAGGCATAGCTAGTTCTTAAAGATTAAAAAGCCCATCAGGCAAACATGGATAGGAAATAGGGGAAAGGAGCTTTCTGGGTGCCTATAGGATCCAAACCCTTCTCCTGGGGGGAAAGTCCAGAAGAACATCTCTTCACTCATCCACCACTCTTGCTTCCTGCTGTTTTAAATATATATATACATAACAACACTATAAAATGAAATGTTAGTATGTCCTATAATTTATGGAAGAGCAAAAATTGACAAGATTTTTTATATACATTGTAGGCACCAAGAAGACTCTCCTAGAGAAACATGGATGGAGTTGGAAATCTGACAGTATCTTCTTCCAGTAGTAATGCATGCAATGACACTATTGATGATTTCCGAAATCAAGTGTATTCCACCTTGTACTCTATGATCTCCGTTGTGGGCTTCTTTGGCAATGGCTTTGTGCTCTATATCCTCATAAAAACATATCATGAGAAGTCAGCCTACCAAGTATACATGATTAATTTAGCAGTAGCTGATCTACTGTGTGTGTGCACACTACCTCTCCGTGTGGTCTATTATGTTCACAAAGGCATTTGGCTCTTTGGTGACTTTTTGTGTCGCCTCAGCACCTATGCCTTGTATGTCAACCTCTATTGTAGCATCTTCTTTATGACAGCCATGAGCTTTTTCCGGTGCATTGCAATTGTTTTCCCAGTCCAAAATATTAATTTGGTTACACAGAAAAAAGCCAGGCTTGTGTGTGTTGGTATTTGGATTTTTGTGATTTTGACTAGTTCTCCATTTTTAATGTCCAAATCTTACAAAGATGAGAAAAATAATACCAAGTGCTTTGAGCCTCCACAGGACAATCAAGCTAAATATTATGTCTTGGTCTTGCATTATGTGTCATTATTTTTTGGATTTATCATTCCTTTCATTATTATAATTGTCTGTTACACAATGATCATTTTGACCTTACTAAAAAATTCAATGAAGAAAAATCTATCAAGTCGTAAAAAAGCTATAGGAATGATCATAGTTGTGACAGCTGCCTTTTTGATCAGCTTCATGCCATATCATATTCAACGTACCATTCACCTTCATTTTTTACACAATGAAACAAAACCCTGTGATTCTGTACTTAGAATGCAAAAGTCAGTGGTCATAACCTTGTCTCTGGCTGCATCAAATTGTTGCTTTGACCCTCTACTATATTTCTTTTCAGGGGGGAACTTTAGGAGAAGGCTGTCTACATTTAGAAAGCATTCTTTGTCCAGCATGACTTATGTACCCAAGAAGAAGACGTCCTTGCCAGAAAAAGGAGAAGAAATATATAAAGAATAGTTTAAGCCCATTTTTGATGGATTCCCAAATCACTATTTTCTCAAATCATTCACAGCAAAAATAAGAGCTTCCATCAATAATCTACCCTTATTTGACTTAATGACCTAGAAATCTATCTCATTTATGAATTCACATTATTAGAGGTCCTAAAGATATTTTTAGTGTTAAAATTCAGTTCAAGTCTATGAACTAAATTATAAATGATTTTCTGATCTTTCACCTAAAGATGGACAAAATTTGTATCTTGGCACTGTAAAACATAGGTCTGAGATTAAAGTTTTCCTTCTCAAATAAAAGCTTTACAAAGGGTAAGAACTAGCTTTTTAAGATATAAATTTAGCTAATAGTGATCCTAACATATTTATTTGCATGCATGCCAACAGATGAGAACTGGAGTGAGCCAGGAGCTACATAAAATGTACTATCATCCTCTTTCTTTGTAGCACTGATTGGCTAGGAAATCACAGCCATTTCTTTCCCTCGAGAAAATGATCACGTGTTAAAACAGCCTAGTCTTCAGCCAAATGGCCCTAAAGTCTCCATTCAATGTACAATCTGGAAACTGAGGAAGGTAAACCTGATCAAAAGCTAGTTTGTCTCCAATTTTCTTCTGATTCTGCCTTAGGCTCCCAAAAGAGAATAGTGGGGTCTTTGTTGCTCATTGAGATTCTTTTAGGGAACTCTCTCCCTAAACAAGATGCAATCCTTCCTTAATAAAGCAGATGACTGGCACTACCATCTAATAACAGAAATCATTTAAAATTTATCTAAAGAAGAGGAAAGGGAATCTACTTTTCTACACACTTATTACTGGAACCACAATGAACTGCAATGATTCTCTGAATAAAAATTTGAATGTTGATATTGCAAATTTTAAGAAGTACTTACATTTATGCATATTGTGTAAACTATATGTAAGAAATTTTGCTGTATGCATTTATGAGTGGAAGTCAGTTATAAGCTTTGTTATATTTTATGCTTTTTACTTTTATTAGCATGTTGACAGGAATACCAAAGATATACTGCAGTGGTTTTTATGTTATAGTGGAATCTTTCTTCTTAAAATAGCAACAGTTTGATTATGGCTGAAATATAATATTCATGAGAAAGTTTTTGTTGAAGTGTAGTCTGTTCCTTAATTATGTGTTTCAAAAAGTGCTTTATCTCAGAGGAAATGATAATGTTGAAAAAAAGAAAAGCTAGGATATACGTTCTATCTGAATCTGCCACATGCATGTAATTTCTATTTCACTTCTAATGTTGCAATCCCTTCGAAAACCTGAAAGATAGAAGATTTCGGAATGCATAAGTCTCTTCAGTCATGTCTAACTCTTTACAACCCTATGGACTATAGCCTGCCAGGCTCCTCTGTCCATGGGATTCTCCAGGCAAGAATACTGGAGTGGGTTGCAATGCCCTCCTCCAGGGAATCTTCCCGACCCATGAATCGAACCTGCATTTCATATGTTTCCTGCATTGGCAGGCAGGTTCTTTACCACTAGCACCACCTGGGAAGCCCATAGGATCTCAAAGGTGCCCATTTATTTTTAACATACCTGAGGTTTGTAGAAGTAAAAGTACCTGAACTTTTACCCTATTTTTTTTCCTGCTTGACAAAGATCAAATGTAATATGTGTCATAAAATCAGTCCTTATTTCTTATTTACTAAGCTTTCTGCTATTCAATAAGTATACTGTTAGAACAACACTACATTGAAAGCCAGAAGACCTGGATGCTAATCTGCTCTCTTATATTTACTAGCAGTGAAACTTGAAGCAAGTAACATAAACTCTGATTCTCAGCTTCCTCACTTGTAAAGGGGGAATATAATACTTGTCCTGCCTTTCTTACAAGGCACATTTGAAACTCAAATATAATCATAGTATACATACATATTTTAACACACATATGTTAAAATTTTACCTTAAAACATACAGTGTGGTGCAATTTATCACACTAAATATAAAGTATTTAGAGATGGTTTTGTTACTTAAACACACTGAATCATATTTACTATTGGGTTGGCCAAAAAGTTCATTCAGGTTTCCTGCAACTGTGTATGCAGAATCCGAATGAACTTTTTGGCCAACCCAATACAGAGATTCTCAATTCTGAAAGAATTAGAACAAAATATGGACATAGTTAAAATGTATTTCACATAAAATCATCTTGTTTATTTTTTCCTACCTCCAGGTTTTTGCCTGTGTTCTCATTTCCAACCACAATCCAACTTCCTCCCACTCAGAAACATACCATGCTTCAATCACCTACAAGCTCACCATGAATTTATTCTTCTCTAATGCTGTATGTATTATAACCTGTACCACACTGCTTTGAACTCATTTTTTTGCTAATTTTTCCAAATATATTAGTATTTTCTCCCAAAGTGAAATAATTGCTTGGTGTAATTATCAGTTCCTTGAAAATTATGCCTTTAAATCATGGTGCCTAACATTTAATGAGCATTTGCTCTGTTTTATCTGTATCAGTTAATTTAATGCTTACAACTGACCTGTGAGATGGGTACCATTATTATCTTTGTTTTACTGATTTAAAAACAGAGGCACAAAGAGGTTAAGTAATTTATCTATGTAAGATAGCTGGTAAGCATCAGCATCAGAGTTCAAATCTAGCCTGGTGCCCTGTGATGACCTATAGGGGTGGGATGGGAGGATGGGAGGAAGGCTCAAGAGGGAAGGTATGTATATATATGGCTGATTCATGTATAGCAGAAACCAACACAACATTGTAAAGTAATTATACTTCAATTTAAAAAATTAATTCCTGACTCACAAAATAATTAAATAAATAAAGACCTGAGATAATTAAATATATCTCTCAATAGCTACCTCATATTAACACTTTAGTGTTTCCAACCATGGAAAATTCAGAAGCTTGAAAGGTGAGATTAGATCTCAGAGCAATGTAAATTTGTAGACCCTTTCCAGGAGCAACATTACACTGGAGGTGAAAAAAAAACACTCATTTTTTTTCTATTCTACTTTATGTGCACAAGCTAGGTTAGATTGTATTTCCTTAACTCTAAAATAGCACAATATTTCTGAGAGGCCAAATCCAGAACATTTTATTTGATTCATCCTAGATCTCTGTTATCCTAGATAAAACACAAGACAAATTCTAACTCCTCATTCATTTGTTCATTGCTTCATTTTTCTCTGAACTATATAGAATCCCATTATATAATTCCCTCTGTAATAATTCTACAAAAACACAAGAATATATTTCTATTCTAAATTACAAAAACATAACTTAAATTTTATCAAACAGTTTTTTATAGAACACCTGCTCAATTGACATTTAAATTTATATCCTCAAGCACATGACCTTTACAGTTTCTCTTGATAGCTAGTCATTTGATTTCACAAACATTTTATTTGTCACAAGAACTGCCTTCGAAATTAAGCACAACTAAATAGGCCTTATAGGAAACGACCTTTTTGGCAAAGAAAGTTATATTATTCAAAGGGAAAAATAAAAGTTTCTATGACCAAAAATAAGTTTTCACTGAAGTTTAAGTAGACAAAAAATGACCATTTCCATTCTTCCTAAACACCCATAACTACTTTTGTTTTGGTGTGGTGGTTTTCTATGACCTTGCTAACTTAAAAGATTAATGGTCACTTGAAGACATAGAGACACATGAAAATTACAATTTTAAAAATAATGTCTACCTGCTCATAAAAAAACAGGTTCTTCTTCCCATACCTTTAGCAAAGAGTAGTTCAAATTACTGCATATTATTAGTCTCCTTTAAAAAAAAATCAAACAGCTGACAAAGAAAACCAAGAAAGTTTATCCCCTTTCACTCTTCCACATGGTTTTCATTTTTACTAGATAATGGATACAGTTCTTCACCATTATATTTGGTTCTTTTATCTATCCATAAGAAAAAATTAATTACTTAAAATAACACCATAACAACTTTTCATGTATACCATTTTTATTTAAATATAATTATTAAAAATAATATATTTAAATCTAATTATAAGAGCATTCCAAAGCAGATACTATAGCTCTGTGGGACTTAATTTCTGTCTCTATTCCCACCATGCCACAATAAGTGCTCACATAACTAAGATCTTGACAATCTAAGCTTTCTTCCTCTGGCTTAGAAATATCCTATCAACAATATATACTCAAATTTTGTCAGAATATTGGAAGAAGCCCGAAACTCCTTGATTCAACAGAATTAGAAACTAGCTTATCAACAGAAAAAACTGGGCTTTCCTCAGGGGTGAAATAATTTGGGACATTTAAAGTGGGTATTCATATCATTAGAAAACCTCAAGAAGCAAGTTGGAATGTTTGAGAAAAGCAACTGGAAGTGATACTGGGACAGCATGTAGCCAGGAACACTAAAGGGAGAATTCAAATGTATGACAGGAGATTCTGGATAGCTTGTGCAGTCTCCTCCTTAGTCAACTGTATTCTTCATCAATCCACCTTAAGGTATCCATATGGTTTCCTAGCTTACTCATCAAATAAAAAGGTATTGACTGGCCAATAAGAATATCCATCTGTTTGGCTATTCTAGTTTGACTGTAAAGTATTCAGTTGACTTTCTAGCAAAAATTCTTTTCTGGTGAGTTTGGGCGATATGAGCCAGCTTTCCTGGGGTCTTATCTCCATACCCTCTCCTCTCAGCCCCAACTCAGCTCTGAACAAAATAAGTTGAACAATGATGGAGTTTACTAGATCTAAAGTTTTGGAAGTCCCAACTCTGGAAAAGAGAAAAACTATAACCACAAAGTCTTGCTTATCAAGCTATTCCTCAATACTACAAGTGGCACTTTGGAAGCAGAAACCTATTATAATCACCTTGACTGTGTCTACAAATAATTTTTTTCAATATTTGAACTAACAGTCTTAAAATCTGTGGTTTTCTGTGTTCACTTGTCTCTCAAATTTGGGGCATAGCAGCTTGCCCTGTGACCTCTATTCTCTGAGGGACCTAAGAAGAATTGTTGACTTTCAATTTG